GTTTGTAGAGCAAATGCAGGCTATAGCCGATCAATTAGCGGCCAAAGAAGAAGAGTTTAATAAATGGCAAGAAAAGGTTCAAATTTCACCATTTCATTATTTATTACTTTTACGCACTTGAATCCGTTCTAAATTTTCTTATACTATTAAATTTATTTCAAGTTGGTTGAGCAAACACGCCGAGAGCATGAAGTATTGACTGAGGAAATGAACGTAGAACGTGATCATTTCAAGGAAAGAATCAATCAACTCGAGGATGCACTCAATCTTGCCAATTTAGAAATCTCAAGACTAACCATCGAATTGGCCGATATAAACGATATGCAAAAAAAAGGTCGAAGAGGTTCATCGTGTACTAGTGGTAGTAGCTCATCCATGGAAATACCATTTGGTGAAAAGGTCTGTTCGTTTTATCGTTTCTCGATGATTAACTTTTTATCGACACTTAAATTATAATTATTCTCTTTATTTCACATATTAGAAGAGAGATGATAGAGATGAACTCACAAAGCAGATTCTAGAAATTACGCAGCGAAGGATTAGTATTCAAACGGAGTTGACCTTATTAGAAGAGACTAACGAAGAATTAAAGGTAAACAGGGTTCCAAGTATCAAAGATCATATACGAAATTTTTATGTGGGTACTTTTTTTATTTCTTCATTGACGTGACGCAATTCTCTTTAAACGATTGGAAATTAAAAAGAATCAATACACCCAAATCACGAAGGAGAATCAAATGCTCCGTCGCGAAAACGATAACCTCAAACAGCAGTTAGGAAAACAGTTATTTGCGAAATCGCTAGAAGACATCAATCTTACCGACTGAAGAAAGACTGTGCTAAAAAGAAGACTTTGTGGCAAAGACGATTGAACACAAGATGGAATTTTTTGTCGACTGTCTGATCAAATTCGGATATTCATCAATATGCTGGTCATAGAAATTTTCATGAAATTCTTTCTATCTTTGACTTTTCTTCGGTTATGAACGATTTTATCTTTTTCCTTCGTCTTAAATCATCTGACGGGTTGGTTCATTACTGCATTGATATATTATATGGTTTTATTTTAAGTTCTTCTGATGTGTACGTGTATATCTTTTTATTGTAAATATTTTGTTCCTATCGTAAATTTTGCAATTCAATTGTTTTTTGTTGTGACGGGATAAAGACTATATTACCTTTCCTAACATATTGAAAGATTTCGAGGAATTCTTTGAAATTATCATTAAGCTCTTTACAAAAACATAAATAAAATTGGTATATTAAGATCAAAAAAGGCATCGTAAATTGAAATTTACATGATCTTGATGATTTGTTTTTTTTCGCAAAATCATAATTGCAAGCTGCCAAATCGAGGTTCGATTGTTGGACTTTATCAATAGATACCTTGCCTTCATAGGATTAGCATGTGATCTATCCGAAAAATATCAAATCATGAAAAACAAGATCATTGAGATCGATATCAAATGACTTCTGACATGCTTGAAACAGGTTTATCTACTGCATTCCCTTACTCCTATTGAGCTATCTATCTTGCATTATGCCGTGTCACCAAAAACAAACATACCGGCTCTGCCCCTGAAAAAATGCAAGGAAAGTTTATTATTGGCTAGTAACCCTGTTTGACGGGAAAATTTGGAAGGTTGTTTGTTGGTTGAGAACTTTTTGGACTTGTCACAGACCTGTACACATTTGGCGGCGACTTTTTGAATCGCCTCCGGAATTTTGGCGCACGAAGGACATCAAATAAAAGATGCAAAAAGTTGTATGACGAACAAAGTAAAGATGATAAGTAA